GTACTGGTGAAGCCTGGCTTGGAGAATTTTGAGCATTACTTTAGTAGAATGTGAGATGAGTGCAATTGTGCAGTAGTTTGAGCATTTTTGATGTTGAAGCTGAAACTCCAATACTTTGGCCACTTGATGTGAAGAACTGACTCATCTGAAAAGACCCTAATGCTGGGAAAAATTGGGGGTGGGAGGAGAAGGGGACGACAGAGGATGAGAGGGTTGGATGGCATCACCGACTCAATGGACATGAGTTTGGGTAAACTCTGGGAGTTGGTGATGGACAAGGAGGCCTGGCATGCTGTGGTTCCTGGGGTCGCAAAGAGTCAGACACGACTGAGCGACTGAACTGAACTGAACTAAACTTGAGCATTCTTTGGCATTGCCTTTTTTTGGGATTGGAATGAAAACTGACCTTTTCCAGTCATGTGGCCCCTGCTGAGTTTACCAAATTTGCTGGCATATTGAGTGCAGCACTTTCACAGCATCATCTTTTAGGATTTGAGATAGCTCAACTGGAATTCCATCACCACAGCTGGCTTTGTTCGTAGTGATGCTTCCTAAGGCCCACTTGACTTCACATTCCAGGATGTCTGGGTCTAGGTGAGTGATCATACCATCGTGATTATCTGGGTTGTGAAGATCTTTTTTGTATACTTCTTCTGTGTATTCTTGCCACCTCTTAACATCTGCTGCTTCTGTTAGGTCCATACCATTTCTGTCCTTTATTGAGCCCATCTTTGCATGAAATGTTCCCTTGGTATCTCTAATTTTCTTGAAGAGATCTCTAGTCTTTCCCATTCTATTGTCTTCCTCTATTTCTTTGCACTGATCACTGAGGAAGGCTTTCTTATCTCTCCTTGCTATTCTTTGGGACTCTGCATTCAAATGGGTATATCTTTTCTTTTCTCCTTTGCTTTTTGCTTCTCTTCTTTTCACAGCTATTTGTAAGGCCTCCTCAAACAGCCATTTTGCTTAATCCCTAGCACTTTATCCTGGTTTGTCCTGGGGAGAAATCAGATGGTGTCTGGCCTCGAGGCTGGCTCCCTAACAGTGATGGCCCAAACCCTGCCCCAACTGGTGCCTCTGCTAAGGTTGAGTTGCTGTCTGGCATGAACCCTTCTTGACAGCACAGGCGATGCTTCTGAGAGGCCTTTCTTGATCCTCTCCTTGTGACTCTAGTGTTAGGGACCAGAAGCTGTTTGTCAGACATACATCTGCAGTGCTTTGCTGTATGCTGACCATATGGGTTGACACTCTCTCCCCTGTTTTCCAGGTTTGTCAGAAGCCATGGCTGAGCTCAGCATGTCCAGAGGGAGGGCCCTACCCATGTCTTCAAGGCCCCTGGCACCTGCCTAACCCCATTCAGTGCCAGGCTTTGAGTGAGGGAGGCTTCCAATGTGCGGCTGGGTTGAACGTTTTAAGCCACAAAGACTCAAGCATGACCTCTGAGCTGGTTAAGAAGGAAGAGCCTTGCCCCTTATCCCCCCAGGGTGGGTGGGGTCTGGGGGTTTTGTCCTTTGCCCTCAAATGGCAGAGGCACAGGCCTCCCAGCCAGCTGGGTGGATACTGAACATTGGGCACCCAGAGGAGGGCAGAGACTTGAGGGATTGGGGGCTGTATTACAGGGGTTTGGAGTTTGTCCCCCAGCCACTGACCATATCCAAGCTGCTAAAGGGACAGGGGTGACCACAAGTCAGGGGCCAACTAGGGGGATGGAGGAGATGGAAACAGGGCAGGTCTGTGAGCTGAAGAGGGAGACTGGGCCAGGTGGGAGGGAGAATAGGACAGGGTCTCAACCTGGAAGTCAGAGGCCATCCCCTGGCAGAAAAGAAACCCCATAGGAAAGGCTCCCAGTCGCCTCTGCATTGCTCTCCAAGGGATGCGTACTGTCCCTTCAGTTACGAATGAAGTCATGAACATGTCACAGCAGGGCCAACTGACCACAGCACAAACTAGAGCCCCTTCATGTCTCAGCCATTGTGATGATGCCCCCAGCATCCTGCCACGCTCACTGCCGCCCTGAACTGCTGTAATAAAGAAGTGCTTGGGTTCTATAGCCCACATTTTAGAAAGTAATTTGCTGTCTTTCAGTGTAATTGTTTCCATGGTAACCCCGGGCTCTTTCTTTGGGACAGGGAGACAAGAAGGGGCTGTCAGCTGAGCACAAGGGCCCTACCCCAGCTCAGCCAGAGAGGAAAACCCAGATGGCCCACCTCGGGCCCTCCTCCTACTACCTCTGGCAAGGACCAGAGACAGCTCATGAGGAGCCAGGCATGTCTCAGAGGCTCTTGACTAGGCCACCAAGGCTGTGGACAAAGGGAGACCAAGACGCCAGTGATCAGGAGGTGTGGGAGGAGGGTGGGTGACTGGAAAGAGTGGACAGGCAAGTGGGGGTGGGTGACAGGGGAGGTGGGAGCTTTCCTGCTGGACCTGGGGACCACAGCCCTTTGCCCCATGACGGGAGCCCTGAACCCTGAAAAGGTGCAGTCCCATATGGAAGCCACCACCACAGGGGGAGGAGTGTGACCCCATGGAGGGTCCAGGTCTGGAACTGTCTTGTGTCCTACAGGCCCCACGATGAGCAGAGGCCTCTAGGTGGCGGGAGTGAGCCACAGATGGCCTGTGGGCCAGGCCCCTCCACCCCGACCCCTGCCAGGCCAGGCGGTCCACTTGGTTCTGGCCACAACCATGAAGCAGCCCAGGTGAGACTGTGGTTAGTCCTGGAGAGAGACCCTCATCTGTGGGTTGTGTGGGTGAGTCCCACTCTGGCCAGGGCTCAAGCTGGAGTAGTAGTGACTGACTGACCCCCAAACCCCTGACTCTCCAGCCTAGAAGTCCCTGGTCCCCTTGTTCATGACCCCTAGAACCTTTCTCAGGACAGTCACCGTCCACCCAAGACCCCTTGGACCCTATTGAATCTTGGGAACTTCCTCCTCGAAGGGATTTCCCCCAGCAAGCTGCCTGGGCCCCAAGATCCTCCCACACCCCATCTCCTCCCCTCCCCAGAAAGCTGTGCCTGCAGGGTGACCTCAGCATCATGAAGTGAACCTGGCTGTACCCAGAGCAGGGTACTCACTGGGGCCCCAGACCCCACATCCTTTTGCTGTATCTGGGGTGTTGGCACACAACCCAAGTCACATGGGGGTTGTGTCCCATCTTGCAGGGGTCTTGCACACTTGACCCCTTTATGGTGAGAGACTTATGCGTCTGCCCACAGGGGCCCTACTCTGTGGGGAGCCTGGCCTGTCCCGAAGGCTCTGTGGGCAGATGCAGCCCTGACAGCGGCCTGGGGACACCCCAAGAACACTTCAAGGTCCATCGCACACAGACGAGCTGCACTATTGGCCCAGAGGCCTGTCCCTCCCCCATCCTCAGACCACGGAAACATCGGAAGCTCAGGCCATTTATTTTTCTATTTGTGTCCCCACACTTGCCCGCCCAGAGCCGGCCATGACCCCCGCAGGTCGAATCCTACTTCCCTTCTGGCTGAGGCAGGGGCCTCGGTGGGAAGCCCAGTGCTGCCAAACTCACACGGAGCCCCCTCCCCTTTCCCATGGCCACATGGGTCAGGCAGGGAGATGCCACAGTCCCAGAAACCTCCACTCCCTCTGCCGTGCTGTGGGCAGTGCTTCCCTGACCCCGGTGACCAGCTGTTTCTGCACCTTATTCCATCAGGCCCTCCAGCCCATCCATGGGCCACAGGGCTCTGACCCCAGCCAGTCCCATTCAGGCCTCCCTCAGGTCCTGGCCTCTGAGCTCAGGCAGGGTGGTGACCAGGGACCAGGTCCAGCCTGAGTCCTCTGTCCTGCATGCCAGTGCACATCTCATCTGGCCAGTGCTCTCTCTGGGCCTCAGTCTCCTGGTCTGCAGAATGGGAAGAAGCACCGCCCCCAGCAGCCTCTCCTGGAAAGTCCCAGCCCCTCCCAGGGATTGGCCCAGGCCCAGCTGCCCCCCCCAGAAGCAGTACTTTGGGGAGGCAGGAGGCACCCCCCAGAGGCCAGCAGCAGAGGCCCTGGCGGCCTGCTCCAGGCTCTTCTAACAATGCGCTTCCCCCACACAATTCCCAGAAACACCGCCCTCCCTGCCCTGCCAGCCCGCCAAGCTGGCGGCCACTCCACCCTCTCCCCCTCCCCAGGGGCCCCAGCAGCAGCAGGGTCAGGGGCCCTGATGAAAACAGAAGGTCTAACTCACAGGGGTCCCCAAGGCAGTGCCTCCCAGGGGTCCAGGCACACCAGCCCTGCCCTGGGGGAGAGAGACAAAGGAAATTCCTTTGGGACAGCAGACCAGGGGGCTCAGGAGCCAGGCCCCATTCCCAGAGCTACCCCTGCCTTCTCTGCAGGTGGAAAGGTGGTGAGTACTTCCTTCTGCCTGCACTGGGCCACCTCCACACAACAGCGTGGAGTGTAGAGCTAAGTCCTGTCACACTGTTCCTCTGCTCAAAACTTTCCCAAGCCCCCATGTCTTCTTCAGAGAAGGAAGCAAGACTCTCCAGGCCTCCCACAGCCCTGGTCCCCTCTCCAGCACATGCCTGCCCCAGGACCTTTGCACATACTATTTCCTCTACACAGAACACTCTTCCCCATGTGTCCCTTCATTGAGTTCACGTACTCTTCAGGGTTGGCTCCACAGTCCCCTCCTAAACGGACAGGCAGTGAGCACCCTGACACAGACCCTCTCTCCTCCACAGCCTAGCACCCTGGATTCTGACTTTTTGTGGATTTGTTGATTTGTCTGTCTGTCCGACAGAACGGAAACTCCCCACAAGCAGTACTTGGGTCTGTTTTGTTCACGGCTACACCACTATCTCCTGGAATAGGGCTTGACCTGTTCAGGTGGGTCAGTGACCAATGGGTGGATTGATGGGTGAATCTTGAGCCTGAGAGAGAAGGGGCAGCTAGTCCCCAAGACACAGGCCTGCCTCCTAGCCCAGCTGGCAGCCACAATCGGTTGGACCATCAGAGCCATTTGTTACCAAGGCCAGGGCTTCAGTAGAAAAGAAACACACAGTGGCACTGCCCACAAGGCCCCGGGAGCCAGTGACCACCTGGAGGGCTTGGCTTCTCCTTCCATGCTTCCCAGGGCAAATGGGGACTGTCATCGGAGCCTGGCAGGAGAGATGAGGGGCTGGGCCAGCCCAGGGCAGGGCAGACACAGGGTGGGGGCTCAGGATACCAGGTGTGTCAACACACAGACCCCTAGGCAGGGCACACAGAGAGACCATCTCTGTCCCATCAAGAGTCTCCAGAGAACCAGGGCACCACTCCTGTATTACCCGGGCCTGGGGCGCCGAGGTCTAAGCAAAGATGCCTTCCCAGCGGCTGCCTGAGCCTGGACTGACTGGCATGGGGGCGGAGCCAAGGGCAGGGCAATAGGCCTGGCAGGCTAGCTGTGCCGGACAACTGGACAGACAGAGTGTCTGGCGCCTGCTCAGCCAGGCTGGCCCTCCGCTCTCTCCTCGCAGCTGTGGCCTTCCTTCCTGAGCTGGTGTTTCCTGGCTCCTCCCTGCTGTTGCTATGGAAACAGAGAGCAGCCTGGGGGCTCCCCCTGCTCCCCCGCCTGGTTCCCACGGAGCCCCCGCTGAGCACCAAGAGAGGCCCACACAGAATGCAGGACACTGGAGAACAGCCATGGCCACAATGCCCCAGGGATCACCCTGCTTGGGACCCCAGCTCTCATCCAGCACAGCGCCCCTGCCGGACCCCAACACCTGGGACATCCACAAAAGTGATCTATCAGGATCGGCCACAGCCCATTTGCCCCCCATGAGGCCACCATCACAGAAGACTCCTCACACAGGCTACATTCGGTGCCCCCCCCCAAGTCACAAGTCCCCTTCAACCCAGAGAAGCCCCCCACCCACTTGGTCCTGCTAGTCTGAAGCACTCAGGGGCAGACCCAACCCCAGCACCACAGCCCTGGGACCTGCAGGGGTGCCATTCTCCCACATGCCCCACAAGCACCCCCACAAGCACACTGACCCTAAGTTCCTAGACCACCCAGCTCTAACCAGGACTTCCAGGTCCCCATGACAGTGACAGTGGCAAATCATGCCCTGACCCCAGCACTCCTGAGACACTGCCCTGTGACTGTGAGCACCATGCCAGCTCCCTCGCACCCCCATGGCTCTCTGCACACCAGGACTGAGAGCAGGAAGGTATGTGCTGGACAAGCCAGCCACCCCAAGCCTGAGCTCCAGCCACCCCCAGGATTAGGCCTGCTGCTGGGCGAGTCATGCATGCACACAGGGAGTGTGCCCACTTGGTTATAGCCATCGGGTGGCCTCCCCACCCCCATCAAGCCTTTGGGGCAGCTTCAAGGATGAATAGGAGGATCTGGGCCAGGCCTGAGCCCTGGTCTCCAGGACCACAAGGCAAGGCCTGAACTGGGTGGCCTGGCTCCAAAGCCCGGGAGTCAGGAGACCAGAGACCTCTCCACCTGGACCCGTAACTGATGGGGACCCTGCTTCCGCCGTCTAGGAGCAGGCAAGTCCTGTCCCTAGGGACTCAGTAATTGGTCACAGCCCTGCTCCCGCTCCTGCAACAAGCCAGGCCTGAGCGGCTAGGAGCCTGTGAGGTCTATGCCCCGGGCAGTGCCTGGGAGGTCCGCCACCCCCAGAGCCCAGTCAATCTCCCACTCAGAGGCACTGAGGGGATTACCCAGAATCCCTTGCAGGCTTTGCCCAGAGCCTAGGGGTCCAGTCCAGGCTGAGAGGGGGAGCTGTGGAGGGCCAGGAAGGCAGAGGCCACTGGACACCCAGGCCAGCCCCCGCTCATAGAACAAGCTTGCCCGCCATCCCACCTCCTGTCTGGGGAGACGGGGGGTTGCAGACAGGACCTCCCAAAGTGGGCAGCAGCAGACTTGGACAAGGTGGGTCCTGAAGACATAAGAACGCCCTCAGACTGTGGATGGACTGGGGGCCATAGCTTGGTGGCCGGAAAAGTCTTTGGGAACTCCTCCTCTGGTGGATGTACAGGGGCAGACCTCCACTCCCTGCACGACCTCATCTCCTATGGCAGAGTCCAGCCTCTTCCCCACACCCAGGCAGACACACATGGACACAGAGACCACACACAGACACACACCTCTGATGCCCAACTGGTCACACCCACGACAGCCCTTCCACAGCCCCGGGGCGTATCCCCAGCCCTGAGGCTCCAAGGTCAGGGCCACCCTGACTGCGGCTTCCACCCCACTGTTTTCCCATCTGGATGGTGGGCCAGAGCTAATGTCAGCCTTGCCAGGCAGCACAAAGAGGAGGGGAGCCTGACACCGAGGAGGTGGGGGTTACCCCAGGAGGCTCTCCCCTGCCTTGCTGAGCCCCAGCTCACAGGACGTGACAGCCGGACACCTGAATCCTGGAGCTCAGCCAAGAGGGAGAGTCAGTGTCTGGCGCCAGGCGAAGCAGCCCTCCTGGGGGGTGGGGCCCTGGTGGTGAGGTAATTCTGGCCAGGGAGCTCCCAGCAGCTTGAGCCGCTCAGCTCTCAAGGGCCACAGGGGCCCAAGTACGGCCCCGAGGGAGCTGAAAATCCACCACAAGGTCAGGGGCTGGAGTGGAGGAACCAGAAGCCACCTTCCCAAGCCCAGTGGTGATCAGCTCAGACTCCTGCTGCTCAGGCTGAGCCAGGCCCTTGACCCAAGACCACACCCAGAAGGCTGCAGGGCGATGTCACCTCTGCCAGATGCTGGTCCCACGGACCCATCCTTCAGCCCCGAGTCTTCCTCACATGTCTCTTCTCCCAACCCCAGTCCACCCACATTGGTCAAAGGAAAACTGGCACCTCTGGGAGAGGTTGTATACCAGTCCACCCTCATGCCCCCCATTCTTGCCTACCTCCCAGGAAAAGCCAGTCTTCCCCCCAGACCCAAGGGGACCCCCTCAACTGTCCTCAGTCCATCAGCATGCGCTCGGTGTCCATGAATTAGGCGCCAGAGCCTGGGAGATGGAAACCTGATAGGAGCCACCGAGACTGCACTGATGGGATACACATCCAACCAACCTCATGGTGGAGGACCCCTGTGGGGGTGCTGGCCTCTCCACAGGACAGCTCAGGAGCAGCCGCTTGTGGGAGCTGTCAGACCCACAGGGGACCTGCCCCCTCATAAGCCCTGACTGTGGCCTAGAGGGACTACCAGATCCAGGAGTTCTGGCCACCCACAGCTAGGATCATTGTCACCTGAGGTCACATACCATGGAGCTCTCAACACATGGGATGGGACTCCTGATGAGGTAGTAGAGCTACAGAGCTCCCAGACTGCCAGTGGATGTGCAGGAGGGAAAACTTATCCTACAACCACCCCCCCCCACCACCCACACTCACAGCCCCCCTAGAACCACCCTCAGCATGGGGGCAGGGAAGCAGCCTGCCTGGGGAACACCTCTCAGGGTCTGGGAACCCAGACACCCTCTGGAAGGGGTGGGAGGGGGTCTTCAAGGGGGCTGGCAGCTCCTCTGGACACCCTCAGGGGTCTGATGGCCCAGGGGAAGGCCCCTCCTCCTGCCACCTGCCCCAGCCTCACTCCTGCAGCAGCACTGGCCTGGCTGACTGGACTGGGTAACCAGCTACTACAACTGGTCAATCAGGCCCTGGGGAGGGGGATGAGGCATGGGGCTCCAAGCACTGGACCCCTTCCCTTGCTCTAATATAGATGCCAGCCATCTACCCTCTCCTCCAGGTACTCAGCTGCTGCGGTTTGCCGATTTTCCAGTGCTTGTGAGCAGGGTGGGGGATACGGTGAACATCTCCCTTAACCCCATGAACAGACCTGGGGAGCGGTGGGGAGGAGGGAGGCTCAGAGTTCCTGGAACTCCAAGTTCCACATGTAGGTGAAGAACAAGTGAGCAGTGATGCCCTGGGTTACTCAAAGCAGCTCCCTCAAGACACAAAGCGCTTTTCCCAAGGTGAACTTCCCTTGGAGTCAGAATCTGCTGGGAAGGCAGCCGCCCCTGCCCCCAGTTCCTGCCTGGGGGTCTGATTCTGAAAGTCTGACAGCCCCCACAAGGCCGCCCCCTGCCAAGCTTCGGGCCACATCAGCCGCCCTCTCCCATTCAGAGGGGGTCTCTCCTTCAGAGGGGGTGCGGGGAGCGCCGCTTCGAGGAGGCCACGGCGGAATCTCGCCGCCCGGAGAAGAAAGGGAGCCCCCGGGAGGAGGGGGGCGGCCCCGGCCCGCTCAGGCCCGCCCTGTCCGCCACGCCGCCCATTGGCCCCCGCTCTGCTATATCTGGGCGCCCACCCGGCGAGAGGCCACTGCCGTCCCCACCGCCGCCTGCCCGCCCAGCGCGTCCGACCCCGACGTGCCCGCCGCCCACCCTCCGCGCTCCCGCGCTCCGTTCCGCCCAGGCCGCGCCCAGCTGGAATGCAGAGATCGCCGCTCGGCTACGGCGCACAGGACGATCCGCCCGAGGGGGGCGGCCGGGGTCCCGGGAGACCTCACGCAGGGGCGCGCGCTGGCATCGGCTGTCAGCCTGCCAGCTCTCCCGACGGCACCCAGCTGACCCGCGCCCGCGGCTCGCAGGCAAGGCGTGGAAGGAGCTGAGCCCGGCGGAGAAGCGGCCCTTCGTGGAGGAGGCGGAGCGGCTGCGCGTGCAGCACCTGCGCGACCACCCCAACTACAAGTACCGGCCGCGCCGCAAAAAGCAAGCGCGCAAGGCCCGGCGGCTGGAGCCCGGCCTCCTCCTCCCAGGCTTGGCGCCACCGCCGCCGCCGCCGCCTCCCGAGCCCTTTCCCGCGGCTACGGGCCCGGCCCGGGTCTTCCGCGAGCTGCCGTCGTTGGGCGCCGAGTTCGACGGTCTGGGGCTGCCCACACCGGAGCGCTCGCCGCTGGACGGCCTGGAACCCGGCGAGGCCGCCTTCTTCCCTCCGCCCGCGGCGCCGGAGGACTGCTCTCTGCGGGCCTTCCGTGCGCCCTACGGTTCAGCCGAGCTGCCCAGGAACCCAGGCGGCTGCTTCGGGGCGCCCCCGGCCGAGGCGCTTAGGACCGCGCCTGGCCCCGCCGCGCCGCTTTGCGGCCTCTACTACGGCGCCCCCGCGCCCGGCCCGGGCCCCTACCCCGGCCCTCTGTCGCCACCGCCCGAAGCCCCGCCCCTGGAGAACGCGGAGCCGCTGGGACCCGCCGCCGACCTATGGGCCGACGTGGACCTGACCGAGTTCGACCAGTACCTCAACTGCAGCCGGACTCGCCCCGACGCCGCCGGGCTCCCGTACCACGTGGCGCTGGCCAAGCTGGCTCCACGCGCCATGTCCTGCCCCGAGGAGAGCAGCTTGATCGCCGCGCTGTCCGATGCCAGCTCTGCTGTCTACTACAGCGCCTGCATCTCTGGATAGGTCGCCTGGGGCACTGTGCGATGCCTCTCTCTCAGAGGTGGAGTTGCCGCTACTCGTCACAGACCCGCAGGAACCCGCGACGCTGGGCCTTGGCCAGGTCGAGGGCACCCCGACGGGAGGGTCACCACGTACTGGGGCTTGGCCGGGAAGCCCAGGCCTAGGACGTGTGGGCCGACCCTGCCGGGGCTAAGCTTAATCCTTTTCTTGCAGTGTATTTTCTAGAACTAGGCTGTTTTTTACTTTGCCTTTTTTATATTCATAAAACAGTGTATTTAAGTTTTAATTAAACTTTTTCTCCCAAGGGGTTTCAGTGATGCAAAGCACCAATGTAGCAAGGGCTTTTTAAATAACATTTGTTTGCTGTAAAGGAGGAGCCAGGAGCTGGGTCCCCCTGGACCAGGCGAGGCCACAATAAAGCACCTCACCTTTCCTCCGAACTCTAGTGTCTGTGGTTGTTGCAGGGCGGATGGGGAGTTTTGGGGGTGGAGAGGAGCAGCTCCCTCTAGAGCTCTGGATGTGCCCCACCTCCAAATCCCCTGAGCCTGACTCCCAGCTGGGCCCACAGCAGGCAATTCTCCATCCCTCCAGGACACTACCCCAGGCAGCTGGTGGGAGGCAAGAGGTGAGGGCATTCCTCACCCTCCCAGCCCCCCGTTCCCTACCACTCTCTATTTTAACTCAAGCCTATTAGGGGTCAGAAATCCCCCCACACTCTCACCCAGGTTTTATCATCCTCATCTCATCCTTAAAACTTTCTTCAAGCCCAGTGACTGCCCAAGACAGCACCTCTTTCTGAAGGACGCTGATGGGGTTGACGCCGGCCTGCAGACCTGACATCCTGGGACCCCAGTCCATCATTCTCACTCAACCCAGTGTCCCAAGAGAGGGTAGCACCATGACCAATCCCTGCTGCTCCCCAGGGTGACCCGTGCAGGCTCTCCAGTGACACATGGCCAATGACCAGAGCAGGGGGCTCAGGCTTCCCATCTCAAGCTTCCCACATTGGAATCCATCACTCTAGCCCTGTGCCCCATCCCCGCAGGACCAGATACCCTCTTTCCATACAGGACCAGATACCCTCTTTCCTCGGTCCCCCCAGCACTGAGGAGCCCATGAGTTCAGGGCAAGTTTGCAACAATCAGCTTGAGGGATTCTTTCCTGGGACAGGGTCCCAACACCAGCTCTCCACACACCCACACTCTTCTCAGGGCCACAGAGGTCTTCCAAGAGGAGGGGTCATGTGTCCCCTGGCCTGTCCTCCCGCAGTAGCATATGGGGCTGATCTCTGACAACCCTGACATGGTACGTGCACCCTGGGACATGGGCATCTTGTGATGATGTGGGCTGCTCTGTGGCTGCTATAAGTCTGAATCTGACTACATGTGAGCAAGTTTGCACATGCTCTGAGCATGGCAGTGATGCTGTAACAGCGTGACCATGTGATTCAACGTGACCCTCCATGATGACTATGTGTGTGACACAGTGTCTGAGACTCTGTGTACATCTGTGTCTCCCTGTCAGCTTGGGTGTCGGTGCACAGGGGTCCACTGCCTGAGTGTGTCTGAAGGGTGAAAAGGCAGTGGGCTGTTCTTATTGGTGTCCTGCCTCCAAGGAATCACCTCTCTAAACTGGCATTAAAAAAAATAATAAACTGGCATGAGTCTCACACCTCAGCGAGTAGAATGGGGCAGTGACACCTGGGCCCCCTTCACCCCCATCCCCGCCATATTGTGAGCAGGGCCCAGAGACCTCCAAAACAAAGGGACAGAGAAAGACAAGCTGAGGAGATGGATGTGGACGTAGAGAGAGGAGCCCTGGGCAGGTCAGGGCACAGACAGAAATGGCCTCCAGGACACCAAGGACAGGGCTGGTACACAGGAAGAAAGCAGGGGATGAGGCCCAAAGGGACACGGGTGGTCCAGTCCAGCTGCACTCGTCATGGCCAGGGGTGGGGGATGAGGGGGAGCTCTGAGACACCAATGCCAAGTCCCGGGCTCAGGCACAAAGGTCATGTCACCCGTTAGTGTGCACACACAGCTCCCATGGCCTCCGACTCCCACTTTGGGTGGGCCTGGGGGACAGGGGACCCATCCACTGGAGCTCCGGGTCAGCTGGGCCAGGGTGTGCCCCCCACCGTGGGGACAGTCTCTGTAGGAGGCATACCCATAGTAGCCAGAGTCCAGTAGCTTCTGCCCCCTGCCCCACCCCCAGGGCAGACCCTCCCATATCTTCACCCCACTCCCTGGCCAGGACAGGGCGAAGGGAGTGCCAGCCCAGCTTCTCCTACTGCTGAGAGACCCCTGCCTGGGCACAGGCAATTCCTCACCTGTGCCCCCATCCCAGAGACACACAGAGAGGCTGACTGTCTCTCCTGGACAGGGATCAGTTTTCTAGCATTCTCCTCACCTCACCCTTGGGGTAGGGTGGGGATGGGGGCCCCAGGGTGCCCAAGTGGGAGCAGCCAAGCAGCTTGCCCCCCGAAACCCCTCCCCCACTGCCAGGGTAGGAGGGGCGGGGTCTCAATTTGGGCCAAGTCCTTGGAGTCAGGGGCTGGGGGAATTCAGGAGCAGAATCAGGACTTCGAAAACACACACACACACACACAGATGGCAGCTGTTTTCAGAAAGCAGTCAAGTGAGTACCACACAAGACCCAGGGCAGACTGGTTTCCTAGAGACCCAGGCCTCCTAGGCAGGACCACAGCCTCAGGGCCTGGGTGGTTCCAGCCTTGGATCAGGCTTCCCACCCCTCCCCCTCTTGGCCCCACCCACCTGCTTCCCCTAGGGTCAGGAGAAGGGAAGTCCCCACCCCCAGCTCCCGCTGAGTCAGGCCCGCCAGGAACAGACCCAGGCGACCTAGCTCCTGGCGGGAAGTTCTAGCAGCCTGGCCTGGCTAAGTCACAGCTCTCATGCCCAGGACCCAGCCTAACACTGGGGTGACCTAAGTCGAGACGTGGAACCCTCCCCCCAAGCTGCCCAGAGGAGGAGGGGATATGCCCGAGAGCAGGTACGGTGCACCCCCTCTCCCCAGTAGACATGGTCATCACAACCTCCACAACCTCAGTAACATCCCTGACTCAACCAGCCACACACCACACCAGCATCAGGACTGCTCCCAACAAGGCTAGGCTGGGCAGGTGAAGAGGGACTTAACTCTCCACTTGATAGACAAACACCCTAGACAGCCCAGTCATTCAGTTGACAGCGTACAACACCTATGTTGTTGTTGTTTAGTTGCTAAGTCCTGCCCAGCTCTTTTGTGACCTCATGGACTGTAGCCTTCCAGGTTTTTCTGTCCATGGGATTTCCCAGGCAAGAATACTGGAGTGGGTTGCCCCTCCTCCAGGGGGATCTTGCTGACCCAGAGATGGAACCGTGGTCTCCTGCAATGGCAGGCAGATTCTTTATCACAAGGTGTTTTCAGTAAAATAACATAAACGTGTATCTCTAATGACCAAGTCTGAACAAGCAGATTAAGTATCTTAAATAGGAGATTGTTTACCGTCTGAGCTACCAGGGAAGCCCACTAGGCTGGAGCAGGTGTCCCCAAAGGAGGGGATCCGGAGCAGATGACCTCTCATCTTAACAGGTCCTCAAACCAAGGCTTGGTCCTCTACCCGCCCGCCCACAACCGCTGCTGCCCCAGGTTGGGGATGGGCCCTAAAGAGCAGGCTCCAGTCCAGTCCACAGAGGGTTTGGTCCAAGTGTGGGGGGGGGGGTTCCTGGTGCAGGAATGGGGAGGAGGAGGGATGGGAACGCCGATGTTCCTCCTCTTTTGTGTTTCACAGCACAGCCCACTCTGCTTCCTCCCGACCCCTCTACCTCTGCACAAGCACCCAGCCTCCCAGGGAAGCCCAGCAAGTCTCCCCACCCTCTGCCTTATCTCCCAAGACCCCATCGCTGCCCCCGTCCAGCTCCGGCCAGTACAACCCCGCCCCAACCCCTAGGACCCCTCCCTTCCCCTGTCCCCCCATGACTCCACCCCTTGCCTCACAACCCCGCCCCTCCCCCACACAACTCCCCTAGCCCCACAACCCCGCCCATCCCCACGACCCCGCCCCGTCTCCCACGCCCCTGCCCGCCCGCACGAGAAAACAGGAAGGGGCCCGCGGCGGCGGCGCTGGGAGGAAGCGCAGGAAGCGGCGACGGGTGCGGCGCTTATCTCAGGCCGCAGCCGGACCCCTGGCCTCACGCCCCGCGGAGGCCGGGCAGGGGGCGCGGGGGCAGCCGGAGGAGAGGCCTGCTCACCTGGTGGGGGCCCTGGCTGCCTCACCTCCCAGCCACAGTTGTCATAACCGGGCCATGGAGACAGACGACAGGACTTAACTGAGCCAGGCTGTGCCCCTCCAGCCCGGTGGGTAACCCAGGGGCCAGCGTCCAACCCCAGGGCGCCCCACCTCCCCCACAGCGCATAGTACCCTCCGCCCCTAGGCCTCCCCATTTCCCCCCAAACAAGGACTCGGTTTAGTCCAGCAGGTGTGCGCTCTCTGCTGGTTCTTCCGGGCTTTAACTTGGGGATGGGGGGATGGTTGTTTGTTTCTGTTTACAGAGCTAGGTCTTTTCCTGGAGAGGGGGCAGGATAGGGACTGTCCCTGGGCACCCCCCCTCGCAGGGTCCCACAGGCCACTGGCAGGGACAATGGGCGCCAACACCTGGCACTCCTCCCCCATGAGTATATGCTTTGCTTCCTGGAGTGGGGGCCTCCTGTGTTTCCGCATCAACCATGGCTGCAGCAGCCCTCTGTGCACACCTGCAGGCGAGGACCCCCACTTGGGCTCATAGGCGAGGGCCCTCAGGTCTGGTGCAGGTGTTTCCTCCCTGCTCTGGTAACCCCCAGCGCCAGATGCAGGGTCTGACCAACTCACGTCCTGCCTGAGTCCTGGCTCCGCGAACATGGGAGGTGCCTCTGTTCAGAGTCTGGCATGGCAGGCACTTGTCTCTCCCACCTCCTCCTGGTGCTCAGCTGGGCTGGGGTGGTAGCCAGTTGGGGAGGGGACATGGGGGAGGTGCTACTGGGGCCCATGAGTGGGCCTCGGGCAGGGCAAAGCACTCTGCGGTTCTCAGAAGAGCCAGTGCTCTGGGTTGGCACTGACCCCAGCCCTATGGTCTGCTGGCAGCCTGGGAAGGGGCAGAGTTGGGAGGTAGGGAGAGAGTGGGGCCCGTGGGCGGAGCAGGGGAACACACAAGTGGCACAGTTGGGATTAACTTCTTGGTTTTCTGAATCCAGAGACTAGTTTGCCTGTCGTCCGTGTTCCAGATGTTCTTTCAAAGGCTCCCAGTCTGGGGAGGCCGTGGGACTCGGACTACCCTTCAAAGCCTGCCTGGGCCCTCCTTGCAGCACTGTGCATGGGGGGTCTAGCTCCCTGGCCAGTGCCCTGCAGCCCCATCTGCCACCCTGCACAGCCCCTCCCTCTGGGCCCCAGCCTCCACCCCAGTAGAAGCTGCTGAGAAGGCATGCATGTAGGGCAAGGCGCCACAGGGTGCAGGCCCCAACCCCACCAGGTGTGTGCTCCAGAAAGTGCAAGAACTAGGCTCAGGCCACATGTCTGGGGCCTTGGCAGGAAGGCAGGGCACTGGGGCCGGGCAGATGCCTTGCATCCATGAAAGGTGGGGCCTATCCACTGCACAAACCACCTATACTCTGCCCTTGGTGGCCCCATGGCCCTAACCTTACCATTGAGTTTCTTTCTATCTCTCTGCTGGTCCCTCACTACCTGGGCAACTCTTGACAGGAGCCCCCAGGGAGAAACCACAGGTTCCGGCTGCAGAAACATTGTCTGCCCCTGTGGTTGTGGCCCAGGACCCAGATGGAGATTGTGGCCCTGTAACTGAGGCCTCTACCCCTCCTCCCAGCTCCCCTGAAATGGGTTTGCTGGAAATTGCCTCAGGCATGGGTGAATGGAAGGGCTGCCCATTGCCCACCCACCATGGCAGCAGCCATGACTGCCCAGGAGGCCACACCAAAGTGGTGTTAGGAAGAGTGCTCTCCCCACAGGCCCTGGGGCTGGGGCAGAAAGCCAGGTGCCCTTGAGGAAGCACAGGCATGGGGGCGGGGGACCCTCCGTGAAGGGCCTGTCCCCTTCCTGTCCCTGCACCCAGACTCTCGGGCTCTCTTACTGATCTTCTCCAGGCCTGACTTGGCTCCCCCATGCATTGTGCTCCAACCACAGTGGGCCTTTCCCCTCCTACCCAGATACCTGGCCGCAGACCCAAGCTTACATAGCAGGAGCCAGCCATGTGACTGCTCCCCTCAGCTGCTGCTCCATCAGCATTCCTCAACTTCAAGATGAAGACTCACCCAGGGACTCAGGTCAGCACTCTGGGGTTGCCTGGACCTCTCCTCACCCCATTCACATCCAAGCCTCTCCTTCAGCCTCACCTTAACTGCACAGGCCCCCTGCACAGGCCTCCCTCACACCCAGAGTGTTCTCTCATGGCCTGGTAGCCATTAGGTGAAGGAATAAGTCCCCACACATGGGTGTCCCTCTGCTTGGGGCCTGGCTCTTATCCCAGCTCTCACACTTCCAGGCTGAGATTTGGGGCAAGTGCTGAAACCTCCTATTGCTTCAGTTTCCTACTTATGAACCGTGGACAGTAGTTGTTGCTGCTCTGCTCAGACTGAGTGTGTTTACACCCACACACTGGGGGCGATCAGGGGCAGCTGTGCCCTGCTGATGGCACCAAGACCTGTCTGTAGCTCTCCTGCTTGCCTCTGTTCTGTCAGGGTGCCCCCGGGCAGGGCTGCTTCGGTACCTACTGGGTCTGTCCACCTGACGACAGGTGTACCTGCCAAGCATCCGCCTTGGCCGGGGGCTCTGCCTGCCCTGTTCCCCCCTCCTCCATAGGCTGTGATCTGGGAGGGGCCACAGACCTCCAGTCCTAGAGCTCGGACCCCCCACCCGTCCAGGCAAGCATAGGGTCCCAGAGCGCAAGACGGTGGGTCCCTGGCTGGCCTGTGCAGTCCCACAGAGGGGCTGCTGCCACACTTCCCAGGCCGCAGGAAATGGCCTGGTCCAGCTTGCAGCCAGGGCCACAGCTCGCTTCCCTTCAGGCCCGTTTCCTTTATCCGGTTGTTTTGCTCCGAATTCACAAAGCTCAGCCTTCCCCTCCCCTCCATTTCCACCCTTCCCCCATCCCAGAGTGGAGCAGGACGGATACTCTGCTACATTTTTAGGGCCAGCAGGAGTCTCCCACCCCCATCCCCCCATCTCCCCCCCCCCCGCCCCGACACCCCGCAGCATGGAGCGCCAACTGAGGGGGAGTCCCATCCCGTGGCGCCCCCTGCTGGTCGATCCTGGGAGCACCACTCCACGGCTCTGCATTGCTCCGCGAGTGTCGGTGATCTCAGCGTCCCCTCCCCACCAAGACGCGGACGGGGCGGCCGGGCCCCACAGTTGGCAGGCGAAGAGAGGTAGAACCGGGCCGCAGCACCAGCTCAGTTTATTGGGGCCTCGCTCGGAGCAGAGGGAGGGCCCCTTCCAGGACCAGCTCGCCAGGCGTGCACTGACTGCCTCCAATCCCAGGCCCTGGGAAGAGTGCAGGCCGCGGCGAAGGAGGGGCTCTTTCCCAGCCCCGCGCGCTCGGGGTGCTAGGAGCCCCAGGAGCCGTCGGTGGCCGCGGCGCGCAGCGCGAACAGCTTCTCCCAGCAGGTGGCGACGGCGTCCAGGGCGCGCAGCAGGAGCCGCCTCCGGCCGCCTGGACGCCGGGAAGGGCGCGTCTCCGGCCGCCAGCTCCGCTGTCGGGGACGCGTCGGTCAGGGCGTGGGCACGGTCCCCACCCTCCCCTCCCCTCCCCCCTAGCTCCTGTCGGGTCCCTGGGAAGGGAGGCCGTGGCCGTGGGAGCGGGCGGGGACGCGCACCTGGCGCAGCTTCCGGCAGTGGCGTCGCATCACCGCCTCAGTGCGCACCGCCACAGTCCACGCCGCCTTCTCCAGAGCCCCGCGGCGGCCCCCAGCCACCGCCCCACGTAGGGTCCGACCCAGGGCCACGATGGACAGTAGGATACTGTGCTCCTGGGGAGGGGAGGAGACGAGGGACTGGGGGAGGAGCCCGGTGGGGAAGGGGCTGGAGGGCTTGGGTGGGAGCGTCTCCGTACCTTCTGGGCGCCACATGAGACTCCCACCCGGCCCCGCCGTCGGGAGACCGCGTCTCCAGTCAGGTTTTTCTGAATGAAATGGAGGTGTCTGGAGCCCGGTCCAGCCCCTTCGACCCTTGGCCTGGTCCACCTCACCGCGGCCTGCAGGTCCTCGAAGATAACCGCGCGGTAGTGGTGAAGCACGTCGGGGACGCTGCAGGCGCCGATCCCGGCCCGGCCCGGAGCGGCCCCCAAAAGCACCAGCAGGAGCGCCCAGAGCGCGGGCTTGGGAGGCCCCTGTAAGGGATACCGGCTCTAGGGAGGGGCCGACCCTCCGACCCTCTTGCAGCGCTTCGGGTAATGTGCGTCCCCACATCACCACCACCACCCCCACCCACCCACACGGACTCGCTGAGCTGGTATAAACAGAGATCTTGCCATGCTCCTCAACAAATGCTCTAGGCACCACTGCTCTGGCAGGTTTGGGGAAAGATAAGCATTAGCACCCGCAGTGCCAAGACTGGAGGGCAGGGCTGAGTTAGGTCTGGGTACACCAACAAATACCCTCCATATAGCCTTGCTCCTAGCCATGCCCTGACCCATGCCCATCAGAGCTGGGCTCTCCTCTGCTGGGCACCCAACCCCTAGCACTCTGCTCACCTCCAGATGCCCCACAGGAGAGGGCAGAATCTGCCCCCCTCTATCGCTGGGCAGCTCCCCCCCATCAATGGCTTGCTACCAGCTCTGAGAACCATGGGAGCTGGGGTCCCTCTGCACCCCAGCCCAACCAGGACAGGGGTGAGGGCTCAGAGTTCAAGGCCACACCCCTTCGGAAGGGGAAGGCTTGGGGAAAGCCCGATGGGAAGGGAGGAAGGGGACCATGTTCCACCTCACCAGATCTCCCCTCCCCTAGAATAGGGAACTGGCTCTCACGGATAAGAAGCCACCACCACCCCCCACCCCCAGAAGCCCAAACATAGAGAAAGCTGCCTGTTGAAAGGCTCCCAGCCCCCAGGCTGGAGTCACACAGCGGCTGGAAATTAATCATGCGAACCCAGCGAGACTTGGGACTCAGACACAGAACTTGATTCTGCTTCCCAGCCTGGTAGGAGAACCTGACCACATAGGGCTGGAGCTGGAGTCCACAGCAGCTCTGCCTGAGGCACCAGGCAGCGCTGGCTGGGGAAGCACATGCAATTATTAGCTGTGGCCCCTTCTCCAAAACTACCCCCTCCCCAGACAAGCTTCACATAATGGCCAACCCAGAGTCGCCCCTCTGCCTGTCGGGGGTCAGAGATCATAGTGAGAACAAGAGCCACTGGTGCTGGAGGGATGTCCAAGTAGGCTAGGTTGGTTGCCCGGGGGGTCTCAGGAAGGCCTTTTGGCCCTTGAGCGGGGCCCGAGGCTGAGGCCAGTTCAGCCCCGAAGGACAGGGTGGCCCCGGCACTAGGAGGGCAACTCCCCCTCCCTCTGTAGCTGCCAAGAAGGACAGGCAGGAGCACCGAGGCCAGGCGGCGGTGACGGGAACCAAGGGGGATTTCCCGGTGGGGGCACTGAGGGACGGCAGCCCAAGACAGCTCCCACCCCAGCGGCCCACAGCTGCTCACCATGGGCCTCTCAGGATCAGGCCCTCCCTCACTCCCGCCAGGGGGCCTCGGACATGATCCTGGGGTCCTCAGGTGGGGAGTGCGGCTGCCACTCCAGGTCCAGTTCCGAGCCCGGCCAACAGAGCTCCCCTGGACGCAGGCGGAGGCAGGCGGACAAGGCTTTTGAAGTTGGCTCCTCCAAGCAGAGGAGGGAGGGAGCAGGAGGGAGGCCCAGGATCCCAGCCTTCCCCCTCCCTCTCCCCACCCCCTATCCAATCACTTCTTCAATTAACCTGACCCTGAAGCCCAGCCCTAGAGGGCTGTCTTCCCATCCAGTGGATCTTGGCTTAAGCCATCGACTGGAGAGATCTCCTCCGCCAAGGCAAGGGTAGGGTGCTAGGTGGGCAGTGAGCAGGGTGGGGCCCAGCTGGTAGGGAAGGGGAGCCAGGAGAGGCAGGGGCCTGCCAGCACCCTCCTCTAGGACCTTCCTTGGTGGTCAGCAGGTGCTGTCTCTTCCAGGAACCTGAACGCCGGCAGGACCAGGTGAGCAGAACTTCACCCGCCCAGCCCCCAGCTCCTCCACCCTGACGTCCGGGGGTCCTGCCCCAGCAGGTCCCAGGAAGGGGACTTCCCAGCACTTCGCTGGCCCAGCGCTCAGCCGAGAGTTGCCTCCTGCTGCTCACCCCTCCTGGGTCAATGGGGTCTTTTGCTGGGGAAGCTCATGGCCACTCGCCCAAACCACCTTGCAGGGAGCTGGACCATAGCACCCTGCCGGGCAGCGTGTAAGCACCATCCTGCCCTGCCCCCAGCAGTGCTTCAGAATAAGGGGAGCTGAGGAACTCAGCCTTGAGCTGGAACTGAAACATGTCAGTGGAAGAAAAGTGAAGATGTGTTTTCCCCAGGGAGAAAAGCAGTTTCACCACCACCCCAAGGCATTGAGAAAACGACCCCCAGGCAAATGAGAAAGACATTTGCACATGCTATCAGATGCTCTGGAACCCTCCAGCCCTGCAGGAGGTCTCACCTGACCCAAAGTCAGAGGAAGTGTCCAGGAGAAGCCACACCCAACTGAGAGCTCCAGCTGCCTGTGGCTGCAGCCTGGGCCTCAGTTTCCACATCTGTGGAGGAATAGGCTGGCTTTCAAGCTCTTAGAAGGGCAACAGGCAGGACCCCTCCCACTTCCTCCAAAAATGACCAAAGGAAACTCCAGAGGCTCAGTGAAGACACCCAGGAACCTCCTCATGGCTGTCCAGACTGGCCTCACGGAGAACAGGAAGGATTTCCAGTCTCAGACCACCCTGAGGCACCAGCACTTCCTGACCACAGGCAGGGACAGTCTGATCCTGCCCCGAGCTGGACCCAGCAATGTCTGTCCTCTACAAGCAGACGCCCACGCCCTAGGTGCTCACAAGGAGGGCGTGACCCCCACCCTCGGCAGTCACAGGTCAGTGACTAACTGAGGCAAAGAAGCCCTGCTGGGATCACTTCTTACAAGAATGTGTGGAAACAACGGCCAGCTGCCCTTCTTGTCACAAGTGACACAGCCCACGGCCATGGCCCACAAGCCCACGGCTTCTGGACCACCTCTGACTAGATGCCTCCACCCACAGCCAGCACACCCTCTTTCAAAAGAGCTGGCTAGTTTCCAACTGGACACAAACCCAGGGATCCAGACCCCAAGGAAACCTCCTGTCCTCACATGGTGGAAGCATATTCAAGTCTCTAGGTAACCAGTGCATTTTCTGTCCAGAGAAAGAATGGGTCCAAGAGCTTTAAGGTAAAAATCACTAACTACAAATTAGCAAAAATGAACTCCCCTGCCAATGGGAGCAACCCTCTCACATGCCGAGGGCTTCTTCACCGTCCTGCGGTAAAACCTCAGGGGCCAGGCCCAACAGCACTCAGGAAAGTCACTCACCTGGGGGCGCACACAGCCTGCCGCTGGGGGACAGGAGGCACAGACCACCCCGGGGGCAAGAGACCTGCACATGTGGGGGCACTGGGTCACCTGGCCAGCTCGGCCCTCATTGTTCCCACACACAGCTTTTACCCAGGACACAAGTTCCTGCCTCCATCTCCAAAAAGCCTTGGAGAATTGCCCAGCTCTCCTGGCGCTTCTTCTGAGGGGCATAGGCTCTTGCAAGGCCTGGAGCGCTAGCCCTATCCAGTGTGGGGGCCAGACTGGGACGGTCAAAGCACATGAGGGTAGGATTTGGAGAAAACCCGCTGCCATGAACCCCAAGACTACTAGAAAACCTTTAATCAACAACCAGGACGGCCACCACCCCCGCCCTACCCCCACCCCTGCACAGGACACTCAGAAGGTGTTCTTGATGCGCGCCGCCACCAGCACCAGGATCTCCCCGATCTTCCGCTGCCAGTTGGCGATGTCCTTGGACGTGGCGCACCACAGCTCCCCGTGCCGGGGCTCGGCGTTCTCGCAGCGCCTCCTCACCTCCTCCCGCTGCTCCTGGGTGGGGACCGCAGGTGCTTGAACCAACCCACTCCCACCGCACTCTACCAGGCCTCACACCAGTGCCCGCACCCACCCCCCAAAGAGGACCCAGCTTCCACATGGGGGGGGAACCCCCGAGGGCGCTGGGCTCTGGGAAGTCTCTGTCCAGCAGGACAGGACGGCTGTGACACAGAGACAACCCTCAGGCCTCCAGCTCCAGCCCTGTTTCTGCCCCGGCCCTGCTCCCCATCACAACCAACTCATTAAAAGATGCCCCCGAGCATCTAAATTTCAGGCTGAGAGACTCCAAGGCTACAGCCAGAAAGCAGCTATGGAAGCCGTGTCAGCCACAAGCACTTCGTTCGGGACTGGTGGAGTGGGGGTCACGGGCAGCAGGCACCTTACCTCTGTGCCGTGCTGCAGCTCAAACTTGTAAAAGAAGGCCCAGGCATCCCCAAGATCCGAATCGATCTTCACGGTGCGGTGGAACCACTCACGGGCCTTGGTGATCTTCCGCTCGCTCCAGAACAGCCTATTGAGAAGCAGCAGGGGGACCAAGTGGCCACAGGTCAGTGCTGGTGGTGCTCTGCGGCCGCGGGAGCCACGCTGGGGGCAGCCCTGGCCTGCTCAGGTCACAGTTTGCTCTGTGGTGGGCCAGACCTCGAGCCTGGTGACCCACTGCAGTGGCAGAGTCAGGCACAGGGGCTTCTGGTCTTGACCCCTCCCTGGAGAGCTCAGGCTCCACTGGGGTGCCAAGGGACGAGGCCTGGCCACCCGGAAACTCCTCAGGTCACTACCTGAAACCCTCCTTCCTTCAAGTGTCCTCCTGAGGCATTTCTCAGGAAACCACCCACAGAGCAAGAAATTATTTCTTCCTCTGAGTAAAACATAGAGAGATGAAAGTAACTGATCTGACAAAAAATTCTATCAAGGCTGTGATTAGGGAAAGTGAAGTTTCTGCCTGCTCCTCCTTTTCACCTTCTGGAACATTCTGTCCTACCAGGCATCTCCAGAAGGAGCTGAAGCCCACACTGAAAACCTGGTCTAAAAGCAGACACAGACCCCTGAAACTAGGCCCAGGAGAAGATCCACAGCATCAGAAATCGAGTCAGGGTCCTGGGAGCCTTCCCCACGTGCCAGCGAGGGCATGACGGGCACTCTGACAGCCAACTCCACCAGTTCCGCAGTCAAGTTCCAAAGCAGACGTGCACTAGGCACCTCCAGGCAGCTGCCTTGGCTGGTCTCAGCTACAAAAGGGAGTAATTTCATGCTCTGATAGCTTGATTGTTTTTTAAGCCTTGTGGTATTCTTAATTGCTCAGTGTCAGATAAACTGTGATTTAAAGAGCACAAACCCAGATAGCAGCACACAGAGCACCAGCCTGGGAACAGCAAAGAGGGACCTGTTTACTTTACAAAGCCTTTTACGAGGTTTTATGGCAGCCCTATCAGAGTGGAGCAGGAGGTGGAAGCACAGGCGAGAGGGAAGGAGCCCCAGGGACCCAGGTGGGGCCTCAGAAGTTCGTGGGAAGCCCCATACACAGCACCCTCAGCCCCACAGCAGCCGGGGATGAGGTGCTGGTGGGCACTGAGGAAGCAGCTGGGCCAGCAAGAGCACACAGGAGCCTCTGGCCCCACACACCCCCTGCCCTAGGCAGAGGCCTGACAAGCCCTCCACCCCAAGCCCAGTCACTTTCCAGCCTGACCACACCTAGCCACAACCCGGCACTCAGGTTCCACTCCTCTCAGGCCACTGTCCTCCTTTGAGAAGGGAACAGAGAAGGTTCAGGAGATTCTGAAGGCCCTCCATGCCTCCCCAGGGAGCCCTGGGCCCAACACCCTGCACAAGTTGGCAGTGGAGGGTCGCCTGCTCACCTCCTCTTGTCCTTGAGGCCAGCACCCTGAAGGACACCCCCAGGCACACCAAGAGCCTGACCAATGGGCCCTAGATTGTTCCCAGGGTTACACAGGTCGAACAGTCTGGCTTCTGGCACTAACACAATGGAAACAACTGTCTTGCTTACAGCTGTCTGAACCAAAAAAGGTTCACTTATCACCTAAATTCCATGTGGACCAGTGTTAGAAGGCCTGTGTCTGTCCTGCAATTCAAGACCCATGTTGGAATAAACTGAAAAGTGTCAGAGACAGAGCGCGCAGAAACCTGAGAAGGAACCAGAACAAGGGAAGGAGGGTCAGGGGCCCAGAAAAGGCCACCCTCCCAGTGGTCATGACCAGGGAAGACTGCCTTGTTCTGGGGACCTGGGACCCCAGCAAGAGGACTGGCACTACCACCAGGACCCCTACTCACTTGGCCACAGCCAGAAGCACGTGGGGGTCATGCTCACACTTCTTCAGGGCGTCCACACTCTTGGTCTTCCGCTGGGGCCTCGCCTCCAGGAAGATGGCTTCAGACCACAGGACCCCTGAAATCCAGACATGCAGATGATCACCTTAGCCATTACACACAGAGAGGCCTTTGAAGTCTCAGGATATCCCCATCTGTGCCTCCTGTGTGGCCGGGCCGCCTATGCTACCCCCTACTCCATACCCGCCAACCCCCACCCTGAGGCCTGCCCAGAGCCACAGGGCCCCACTGGCAAGGCCATGACATCATCCTGGGGGGCGGGGAGGCTGAAAGTCCCAACAGCCTCCAAGGTTTCATACCCACTGACTAACTTCACAGCTGAGAATTCACTGTAACAAAGTAACAAAAAGTGCTACCAAGGATTTATGCAGAAAGATAACCTGGGATTAATATCAGCCTAGAGATCAGCCTGAGGCCATGTATCTGCCATAAACCCAGAAAATTCTATGAAGCCACTAAAATCTGTTCATTCTTAAGGATTCAGTGATAATGAAAAATCCTCACAGAATTTTCAACTGTAAAAAAAGGGGGGACAAAACAAAATACACAGTATGACTTGATTTTGTGCAATAATACAAATTGTAAAAATACAAAAAAGCTACAATCAATGATTTCTGGGTACTGGGCTCACAGCAATTTTCATGTTCTCTCTTTTTTACTCCAAATTTATTTATACTGCACATGCACTAACTAATTACAGACTTGGGGTAAAATAGTACAAAATTAACTTCTAAAAGAAAAAGAAATGGTAGCATCTCAGAACATGAGGTCCAACTGCCAACATTGAGACTTGAGTTCAATCATTTAAATGACCAAGCGTAATGGAGGTACTTTTGTGGCCGAGTCTGACCCCTGCTGTCGGCGGCCTGGGGACGGCACTCACCAGAGTTGGGGCACTCCTGCAGGGCCTTGGCCATGAGCGTGCTGGCAATGTTCTTCAGCCCGGCACGGTACTCTAGCCGCACAGACTCCAGCCTGCGGAGAGAAACCCGGGCAGGGTAGAGCACTGTCCACTGGCAGCCTGACGACAAGCAGAAGGTCCTGAGG